AGAATAGAATAGAATAGAATAGAATAGAATAGAATAGAATAGAATAGGAGTTCTTTATTGGCCAAATGTGGTTGGACACACAAGGAATTTGTCTTGATGCAAATGCTCTCAGTATATAAAATGGTTTTCTCCTCTCCCTGGGTAAAATTAGGAAATGGGAATAACACGGATCTACAACACAATGTTTGATAGCTTTAATTAATTCCCACCTGTATATATTTATATAGCTATATGTAAAGCCTACAGTATGTTATGATTAAGTTCATTTTACCCTGTGTCTACACCAAGGAGACATTGGAATGCCAGAAGGAACAGAAGAACGTGATAGAGTCAGAGATCATGAAAGTGGCAGAAGAAGAGTTTAGGTCTCAGGCAGAACATTGGAAATCAGAAAGAAACGAACTCCAATTTTTGTTGCAGGTATCTTCTGTTGGGTTAGGTCATGCTGCTAAACTAGAAGCAGTCCTATCTTTATCACAAGCCAAAAATAGTATTGGATTAATGATTAAAAATGCAGGTGGTCCTCGATTAACGAGCACAACTGTGCTTAAAATTTATGCTGCTGAGACACTGGTTGAGTGAGTTTTGCTCCATTTGACAACTTTTCTTGCCACAGCTGTTAAGTGAATCACTGCAGCTGTTAAGTTAGTAACACGGTTGTGAGGTGAATCTGGTTTCTCCCCTTTGACTTTGCTTGTCAGAAGGTCCCAAAAGATGATCACATCATCCTGGGACACTGCGACCATCATAAATGTGAACCAGTTGCCAAGCATCCAAAATTTTAATCACATGACCATGGGGGATGCTGCAACAGATGTCAGTGTGAAAAACTGGCGTAAGTTACTTTTTTCAGGGCTGTTGTCACTTTGAACCGTCACCAAATGAACTGTTGTAAGTTGAAGACTGCCTCTAATGGCAGTACTATTATATTATTTCACTTTAGCCCCTTGAATATTATAAGCTGATGTCTCTTCTTAGAACACGATGGCCAGTACTATAATGATAGACTTGTTTTTTTTGAAAAATGTGCCTCTTTTCTGAAAGGTATCTGTTTGTTCTATGTTTTGGCCAGGTTATCCCAGTTGCAATAGTTGATAGATACAGAGAAAACTAATAGCAGAAAAATACTTAGTAGTCCATTGAGTCTGTGCTTTGAGTTTTTTTGTTTTTGTTTTTTGTTTTGTTTTCTTTTCACTTCATTATATATACAGTATTATTATATTCATTATCATTTTTAATTATACATATATTTTATTAATGTTTATTTAATTTTTTTATTTTTGTTGGATGATGGACAAGTGTTTATCCCAAGCATGTTTAAACTCAGTTACTGATAACTGACCCACTAACTCCGCTGGAAGTTGGTTCTAAGCTCCCACTTCTTCTTTCTGTGAAGTATAATACTTTCCAACATTACTTTTGAATTTCCCTGCTGTCAGCGTGAGATTATGCCCCCTGCGTTCTTGATTTTTGCGTAATATTGAAAGTGCACTAGTAAAGTCCAAGTTTCTAGTCCAAATGATTACAGTACTGTATACCTTAGATGGGCGTGCCTTAGGAGTTAGTTAGACCATAGGCTGCAGCTAGAGTGCAAAGTAGTTAAGGAGGAAGCCTATTGCAAAAATACTTTTGCAGTTCAAAAGGCCAGGATGCCATACAGCAAAATTCAACACTTGTGCTAAAATATAAAATTCTACTTAGCCTGGGTATTTGATTGGTCAGCTTCTTTATGTAGTGATCTGATAAAAGCGGGGATGTCCTCTTCATGAGGCTGGGTCTCTAGAACAGGAGTCTCAAACTCGATTTTGAGACTGCATCAGGGTTGTGTTTGATCTTGGGGTGGGTGTGGGTGGGCATTGCCAGCTCGATGTCACTCGTGTCGGGGGTGCCTGTGGTGGCCCAAAAACAGTGAAAACAGGTTTGCCAGTGAAAACGGGCTCCCAAGCTCAGTTTTCGGCTGCGACAGCTTCCTGCAACCCTCTGTCAGCAAAAACGGAGCTCAGGAGAGCCGTACATGACCCTCACAAGCTCCATTTTCACTGGCAGAGGCACCACGGGCCGGTCCTTTGCTGTTTCTAGGGTGGCCCCACGGGCCAGATCTAAGCACCCTGTGGGCCGAATCTGGCCCCCAGGCCTTAAGTTTGACATCCCTGCTCTAGACGTTTACAGTCTCCCAAGAAAAGGTATTCCTGACCCTGATAATAGAAGTGTCTCCCTGTTCATTTATGGTTGGCATCACAAATTGTACCATCT